ACAACATTAAAATTTAACTTAAAACAAAATTACAAATGCAATATGAATGAAACACTAATGCTTGATAAGGTAGAAGGCAGTAGGAAAAGAAGATAACATTAGGAAAGAAAATACTCAATGAAGGAAGTTACAACCCTGAGTCTGCAAGAATCAAGCAAGGCTGTTGAAAATAGGGTGACTTTGAGGTCTCTCATTCATACGGTTACCATTAAATCGATGTCAACCTGACATCAGTTAACAATAGCACAAGTATTTATCTAACTTTCCAAAAATGTTATTAAAAATTCTTGCAAGATTTTCTACAAATGCAGAACATCTGAACGTGTTACTAGGTCATAGAGTTAAACAGACCTATTAAACTTTAAAACAAAACAGGATTTGTGGTGTCATCAAGTCATGCATATTGCATATTTTTAATAAACACATCTACTATGCGGAAATTAGAAACACACTGTGCTGCTGAAATATTTATTTCATGAGTAAAACCTAGTCACAATCTTTGAAGAATTAATATAATAGACCTTGCAAATTGTTACTATATGAGTAATAGTAAACATAAAAAGCAACCCTTATCTCAACTAATGTTAAGAACTCCTTGAGTCCTTATATCGGGAGAAATATGAATATAATAAAATATGAATATAATAATAATAAAACGACAACATTTTGCGAAGAGGTTGCAAAATCATTATTTTGCTATCCCTCTCACTTGCAGCATTTGTTAAACAATTCTATACTATTCTATTTACATTTCCACATTAAATATTTAGTTTACAAAAATGTTTTTCATGAAAACTAAAATATGATAATAACTCCAAAAAAAAAAAAACCCCAACAACAACAGTGCTCAAGATTTTTCTAAAAATCAATTAACCCATTAAAGTGATAGATATATCCAATGGACCACAGTCTATGAAAACAACCATACATTTCAAATCTAAGCTATTCCTATACTGCTATTGTAAGACCATATTGGAAAGCAAATCTATAGGTACATACTTTCAAGCAACTTCTTTAACCATAGGTTATCAAAACAGACAAAAGTGGAAGTCACCAGAAGTCCTGTTCCAGTCAGGGGAAAAATATTTTCACTTTAAACAATGTGCTGGGCATATAAGCAATGTGATTCAAATGTAAATAGTGCTTACAGAAAGCTTCCAGGGATGTAATTCCTTTTTTCTTATACATGTTTAAAAATATTTCCATGGGGAACTGGTGACTATAAAAACAGATGCTTTGGAAGGAGTGGGTTATTTCACTTCCATGCCTTGCACAACATCCCTGACCTATCTAATGGTATCCTTCTGTTGACGGAAAACTCTCTGAATTAGCAAAGGCTTTCCATCAGCAAAACAGAGAAGGCGGCAAATTTTGCTGAATCACCCATCTAGTAGCTCCCTGCATACTTTCATATTATACTCCAGAGGGTTGCTGGAGTTTTTAGGGCATCATGAGAAGTGACACAGGCAACTGTAGGAATAGAGTAAACCATTCTGATAATGAAAATGTCTGCTGGATCCAAGAATTACTTTCTGGACAGTAACTCCACTGGATACATTCCTGATAAACTGAAGATTAATACATTTATCCATGGAAAACCCTTACCAAAATTAAAATGTATGAATACAATTCTATTGAAGTTAAACTTTTTTATTGCATTCTTTTTTTTCCGTGAAAAATTCAAGCATTTATATAACTCTCTCAGGGTAGTAATGTTTATTCTTAGCTGACATGTCTATGTGTACTATCAGTGAAAAAACACTTTGAACAGTCAACAAAACATTTTTTCAGTTTGGAATAGAGAGAAAAAGTGGTTGCTATGGAAGTATATAAATTCTTCTTTCAGTTATACCAGTCCTTCCACTCATCTATCCAACGAACTAAAAAGGAGAGCTAATAGTAGTTAGAACGACTAAAAAATGTGAGACAGCACAATATCTAATCCTTTAAAAATTTAAAATTGTCCTGGAGTCTTTTTAGCTGAAATGATATTTAAATTTATTCAAAACACTAGTGGCTTATAAGTAAATGCTTAGTAATATACAGCCACATCCTTTTATTTTAGATTTTGCTGCCCTATCAACTCAAGAAACACTAGGTATCTTTGAGCCAGAACTGAGATCAATAAATCACTAGCAAACCCCTGCCACACACTATTACCTTACCAAGCTATTGCAGTCATACAGCCTATGCCCATCAAAAACAGAGGAGCAACAGAATGTCCTGTTGTAGATGACTTGCTATAACATTGATCTAAAAATGGCAGACTATTAAAGAAAGGAATACAGACAGAGATTACATAACAAGGTGAAAGTGGACACCTGCCTAACTACAATTCAGATCATGTCTAACATCACAGTTCTACTAAGCAACCAAAATATGGTAGAACTCTACTTGAAAACACAAAATGCATATTCAATTTTGTTAATACAGAATAAAAAAAATCTATCCTTTCATACAGGAATAAAATATACATTTCTTTCACACCAAATAAATGCTGCAGGTAGAAATGTCTTCATGAAAACTCACAAAGCACTAAGAAACATATTTTAAGCAGTCCAGAAGAAGCAAGAAAATAACCTTATATTTATCTCTTTCATCTGCAACATGCAGTTCATAATCAGAAGTGAAATATGTTGGTCCTAGCTAGTAGTAGGTTCCTACAATTATTTTACAGCACACAGTAAAGTTTACACTTCCAGTGAAAACGTACATATTTATGCACAGAATAAATGGGTACTAATTATATTAAATAAACATGGGCTTTGCAACTTGACCATTCATGTGCATATAATCCTGTATTAGAATTCAAAATATTGAAAGTTGATGTTACAGTAAAAATGGATAAGTGTAAAAAAATACATTATCATAGTTACTATGAGCTTGACAAAGGGCCTTTACAGACTGGCAAAATTAATGCACCTTGAGGGCATTTTAACTGCCCTGGCTCAATGCTAGGGAATCATGGGAACTGTAGGTTTTTCTGAGACATTGACCCTTCTCTGTCAAAGAGCTCTGATGCCACAATAAACTACAGTTCCCATGATTCCTTAACACTGAGCCAGGACAACTAAAGTGGCTCAAGCTGCACTATTTCTGGCAACCTGTAAAGGCCCTAAGTGACTTTAATTTGAATAAGCATATTAAACTGTTGCTTCATTGGATCATTAATGAAAACAGTGAAAGAACAACATATTTTTATTATAACAAAACATTAATTAATACTATAACAGTAACACTGAAAATTAGTGTCCACATTTTACTGAATGTGAATTCTAGCTTCCCATCTTTAATTCTGCATATTGTAAACTGCACACCAAGAAATGGAAATGTTTGAAAAATTATAGATAATAATGTGATATTATGGCTACCAGGTACTAGTATTTAATCTTCCAATATAAAGGAGAAAGTAGGGTCAGTAGATATCATCACGCAAGATATTCTCACCTGCCCCCAAAGAGCTTACAATCTGACAATGTGGACACATAACTACAGAACTGACACAGAATCAATAGGAATTTGCATATTTATTGTTTTTGAGCAGATTATGAAGAAGACATCACAATTCATAATCCTAGCATTGTATAAATTGGTGAGGATGATGAACTAAGGGCCTTTGCAGACTGCTAGAAATAGTGCAAATTGAGTCCACTTTAACTGTCCTGGCTCAGTGCTAGGGAATCATGGGAATTGTATTTTTTTTCTGAGACACTGAGCCTTCTCTGTTAGAGAGATCGGGTGCCACAATAAACTACAGTTCCCATGATTCCCTAGCACTGAGTCAGGACAGTTAAAGTGGACTCAATTTGCACTATTTCTAGCAGTCTGCAAGGGCCCTAAAAGCAGTACACAGCTATTTGATATTTAATTTTATGCTTTCAGGTTTATGGCACACTGTTAAACCTATTTTCCAGAGAGGAAACCCCACTATAAAGTCAG